GAGGATGCCAGACTGAATTACGGTGTCAGTGCAAACCTGTGGTCTCCAATGCACGCAGAGGCTGGCTGCAGACACCTGGCTCTGTGCCGTGCAGGCCCGCGGCAGAGGCGTGCAGTAACCGTGGGCACACCTCACGCCCGGACCTTGTTTTCTCAACACCGCTCCCCACTCAGAGGAATCGGCCACGTGGGGAAGTGGCTGGAGCCAGGCCGGAGCACCCTGCGGTGCCGCAAAGTGAGGGCGCAACTGAGCGAGTCGACGGGACACCCCACTGAGACGATTGGAGCACAAAGAAGGACGCGGCCCCCGTACCCCACGCGACACACGCCCACGGGTCCAGACCAGCAGGAGTGATGAGAGAAGCAACTCCTCAGAGCAGAGCTCCAGTCGCTCACGGGAACCGTCACCAGGAAGTCACCAGGAAGTCATCGGCAGACGCCGGCGTTCCGGGGAAAAGGACGTCTGCGCAGTCTGTGAGCATCTCTCCACAAGACACTTTAATTAAAAGGGGAGGAACGCGCCACAGTGAGAAGCCTGCCCGATGCCACCGAGCCTGGTGGTGCAGTCACCGGCAACAAGACACGGTGACGTCACACACCGCATGCAGTTGAGGCCACTTCTGTGGCCTTCTTGCCAGTAACTGCCACCTCAGTTTCGTCACGTGAAACGCCACACCCACCCAAGCTGACAGATGTTCTGCAAAATAACTGCCCAGCACGTTCCCAAACTGTTCGGCTCGTGAAGACAAAAGTGAGGCCTGTCCCAGATTGGGGGCGGGACCAGGACATGCCGGCTGGGAGGACCAGGGAGCAGAAACCACCAGGAAGACTGGTGGCTACCGTGGTGTCGGGCCGTTGCCAGCGGGCAGACCGGCCTGGCTGACTAGGAAGTTACGGGAGCAGAGCTGGGCGGGAGGCACCCAGGACTGACGATCCCCAGCTTTTGTGCGAGTTTAAAGTCACTTCAAAATGAAAAGGGTAAATTTACAACCGCAGATTCCGACTCCATTGGTCTGGTGGGGCCTGAGACCCCGCATTCCACGCAGCACCCCACCCCACCCCACCCAGCGAGCACCTGGGACTGAGCCTCCAGGCCCCGCTCCTCAGCCTCCTACGTCGGGGGTGAGGCCCTCACTTGGGGCTCCCCAGCCCCTCGCCCTCAAAGCAAAGCCCAAGAACATTTTCTGGGACAAATTATAACAGCATTTTAGGAAAAGGGTGAACACACCCACTCTCCTCTGTGAACCGAGGAGACGGGGCCAAGGCAGCCCCACGCGTGGCTCTGTGGGGCCCCACACCCTGGGGGACGTGGAGGCTCCCCAAGACCATCAGCAACGAGGGACACAGGGATCGTCTCCAATCCAGCACACGGGTTGATCTTGGGGAAGACCAGAGGGGACTACACACAAAAGAGCCTCCACCCCCACCCCCGACATCCAGGACCCGCCAGCGCCATGTCTTGAAAAGAAAGAACCAAACGCAGTGATCAAGGTAAAGGTCTCCACGTTCCATACGGAATAGGCGCGGGCACAGGCCGCAGTCCGTGGGGTGAGGGCTGCAGCCGCCCCAAGCTCCCCACCTGCTGCCTGCTCCTCCTATTTTGGCAAAAAACCAAAAAACCCTGGAAGCTTCAGGAAAATGAAGTAAACTTTAGGAAACAGAAAAAACAAAAACAGTAGCCCGTGCCCAGAGCCCCCTTGGCCACCCCAGCAAGCCCACCACGGCCGCAGGGCCTCACTCTGGCCCCGCCAAGGTGACTCTCCCAGGCTCCCTCCACCAGCCACTCCGGCTTCCAGGCTGGGAAGGCAGGAGGGGCGCAGTCGGGACAGCAGAGCCACACGGCAGCACCGCCGCGAAGGATGGAGGCCTCAAGGACGGGCCCCTGACAGAACGAGCCCGCACTGCCGGGAGAGCTGACTGCGGCCCCCACGGCCCAAGGCACCCGGAGAGGTGGAGCAGGGCAAGGACGAGGACCAGGGCAGGCACACCTGGGCCTAGAGCTGGGCAGTGGCTGTCCCGAAGTCTGGCAGGAGGCCGAGACCCCACCTGGAACGACGGAGGAAGGTCACAGGCCACCAGCCCTTCTGGGCTGTGTCTGTCCACTCGGTGGGACCCCCTGCACGCTGGGGGGGCTCCAGGAGCTGCTTGGCGGCAGGGCAGCCCTGCCCCGCTGGCTGGGGTGAGCAGTGTGTCTGTGTCGCGCAGAGTCTGAAGGCCCCACAGCGCGGGGCTGGAGTCCAGGCGGCCTCTGCTGGCCAGTCGCCATCGACTCCACGGACAGCCGAGGTGAGCCCGGAGTCAGAAGTTACCCACAGTTTGTGCAAACTCGACACCAGCACACAGAGCACGGCCCACTCCGAGAGAAAGGAACAGTTCTGGGGCCACCCAGGCCTGGCAGGTGAGAGGGGCCGAGGCAGCGGCAGACGCGGGGGGGACAGGAGCCTTCCAGCACGTCGCGGGGCACAGGTGGCAGTGCACATGGCAGGACGGCTAATTCCTCAAGGCAGCCAACCTGGAACCAACAACAGGACTCAGGTGAGAGGGGCAGGGGCCCCTCCTCCACCTGGGTGCAGGGACCACGTTCCTGGGCTCCAGCTTTCTGTTGTCCTGAGACAACGTGACTGACAGACCCTGGAAACAGCCAAGTGCTGTTCCACGCTTCTTCCTTACACCGGATGGGCAAAGGTCTCCCTTTCTACAGCGGGCTGCGTGTGTGTAAACGCCACACCTGACACACACCCTGCAGCCTTCCGCGAGAGCCTGGCCTGTGCCAGACCTGGAGACACGGGGACAGGAGCCGCCCTCCTGACAGCCTGACCGAGCAGGACGGCGGGAGCAGCTATGGGGGCTCCGCATCGAGACCCCTGCTCCCTGCAGAGCCGGAGCTCGAGCTGTCCTGGAGCAGCCTCTGACCCACCACTCCCCTTCCTTCCCACAGCACCGGCACGTGGGGCTCAGCACCGCATTTCAGGGGCGCTGACCCCACCTCCGAGACAGCTGGTCCTCCTGGCTGCGCACGGAGCTCTCGCCCACGGCAGAGGCGCCCTCGGGCAGCTGGCTGAGCTGGTCCAGGACCTCCAGGCCATTCTCCTCCGCAATCTGCACGATCAGGCTGTCCACCTGCTCCTGGGGCGTGGTCAGCGTGGTGGCCGAGCTCATGGAGTCTTCCATCACCTGGGAGAGGGGGCATGTCTGAGCACAGGTGGGGCCCAGCCCACAGGGCCCCAAGAACAGCTTCACGAGGGCTCGCCCGCGATCTCGCTCACTCTGCCCCCACAGCCGCCGCCTTCTCAGCCTGTTCTCGCAACGGACTTTCTCCGGCTCCTCAGCCCCCACCAGGACCTGTCGGCCACACGCCCCACCCTACGCCCACGTCCACCTGCTTCAGGTGGGTGCCTTTCTACACCTCCATGTGCTCGTTACCATCTGGGACTCCCTAAAGGAGCAGGTGCCCTGGAGGAGGTCCTCTGCCTGCCCACCCCTCCCTCCCGAGGTCCTGGCAGGGAACTAGCACACAGGATGCTTGGTGACACCAGGGAGCAATCGTGTGCGTGCAGACGGCAGGCCAGCCTGCAAGCCACCCCTCCTGCCCCCGCCCCCGTGTCCCCAGACCACGTACCGACGTGTGCACGTCCAGGTTCTGCACCTGCTGCTCAAACCTGTCCATCACCGCAGAGACCTTCTGCAGGTCCATGGTGCTCAGGGCCTTGTCCAGGGCTTTGGTCACTTGTGCCATGTTCTTGGTCACCTGGGACAGGAAGTTGGGGGTGGGGGCAGATGAGTCCCTGAACCAATGGGAGAGCTGGCCCCTCACCCCAACAGTAAAGCGCAGGTCTGGGCCGAGCCATCACCGCGGGTCCTCAGGAAATACCGTCAGCTGAATGGACAAGACAAGCAGCACCAGCACTTGGGCCACTCGAGAAGGGGGTGACGCAGCAGGTCTTCAGCCCTGGGTTCCTCTTCTGGTCCCCCCCGTTTGGAAGGAATCCCCAGGACAGAACCAAAGGTTCAGACGTGACCTGCCCTGCCCCAGCCAGGAGGCCGCGCAGGCTTCGCGTCGTGTGATGCTGAAGGCCCACGGCCCACCAAGGGGTCCTTCCGGTAACGTCAGTGTGGCCCCAGGGCCGGGCTTACCTGTGTCCAGGCCAGCACCTCCTCGGCCACGGCTCCAAGCTGATCCACCTTCCCACAGCTCTGGGAGCTGCCCCAGAGCCGACCCACAGACCCCGTCCCCGCTGCGGCCCACCCGGCGCCGGGGCCCGGCACTTACCCCTTTCATAGTCACGGCCGTCTGCACCTTGGAGGCCACGGCGTCCACGCGGGACGCCATGCGGAGCCAGTTCACGCCTTCGTTCTTCTTGCGGATGGCATTCTCGGCGTACACACGGGCACACTCCACGTTTTTCTGCTGAAGGGCCTAAAGTTCAGGGGGACATGACAGCCGGGAGAACTCAGTGGTTTGTGACCCCTGCCAGGAAGCTGGTGCTGACCGTTTGCTGCCCTGGGTGGGGCCCTTCACAGTCCTTTCCAGGTACACTCATCAGAAGGGCCCGTGAGCTTCCTACAAATGCAGATGCCCAGGCCCTGAGCCTGCTTGGGAGCACAAGGAGTCCGGGACGGAGCAACGGCACCAGCCTAGGAAGGGGGTTCTGCTCCCACCGATGTCCCGGGCCCCACTCACACCAGCACTGCCCAGGAGCACAGCACACGTCGGAGACGGTCAGTGTCCTGGGGAGCCACAACCGCAATGGAAAAGGCACAAAGCGCTAGATACAGACTACAGAGTTACTCTCTGGTTCTACTCTGCCCCGGGCAGCCTGAGTTTGGGGCAGCAGTTACCAAAATCCAATATCCCAGCAGCCGTTTCACCTGTTAGGCTAAGTGTTAAGAACTGCACAGGATTTGGCTGACGGTCTCCACCAAGAGCAGTCAGATCCCCCTTTCCTCCTGCCCTGCCCACCAGGAGGCAGCGGCCCCTTCCTGGGAAGCCCCCGAGAGAGCTTCCAGCCCGTGGTGGGCAGCTGGAAGCCCCCTTCCTGCACAACTGATGGTAGGAACAAGTTCAGAGCATCAGAAATGAATAAAGAATGGACAGCTAAAGAACAAAGGCAACACACTCATCTTCCTGCTGCGGACACCCTCGGTGAGCTGGGAGGGGCCGGGGGGGGGCAGCGGCCGCAGCCATTCCAGGCTCCACCACGCCCGGCGCCTCCCTTCCCCCGAGCTTGCTGGTCTCACGTGAGAAGCCAATGTTTTAAAGCTAGAAGTCAC